AATCGATCGTCACAAGCAGGACAGTTACTGGGTCGTCGTATCGATGATGTGTCGGGCATACTAATTACATCGCTCAAGTGAGAACACGTTCACCCGTTCAGACGTGAGAATTCAGATGCGTGCAACGTGCGCTGGTGGAATAGTGGTAACACGTTCGCCTCGCATGTCAGGTGTCCGGAGTTCAAACCCCGGCACGGCCATTGGATATGCACTGCTGATGAGCTCTAACAAGAGCGAAACTCGAGTCCAGTGCTTCCCCCCCTTTGGTGTGGATTCACATGAATAATTGCGCCAGGACAGGAGGACGACTGTTCAAAACGAGAGAGACTGAACAATACACCTCCCGCAAAAAAAACCATCACATGCATTACCATTATTATAAAAGACGGCTGCAGCCAAATAAGCCATCTAAGATTCGCCAGATAATAAAACTGCGGGCCTCACAGAGACACCTTCCCAGTCAAACCGCGCGAAAACGTCGAAGAAACCAGAAACACCAAAGTTTGTTCCCAACCTTTGATCAGTAGCAAATCTGGTTGTCAAAAAGGTGCTGCTGAAAGATATACAAGCAGTAATGGTCGACATTTTCTCCCGCGGGGAAAAGTCCGTCTGCCAAAGTTAAAAAGCCCAAGAAAAACGGGCTCCCACGGAGCGAAAAAAGCCTGCAAATGAAAAACATACCTTGGAAACACCAAGACAGGAAGCTGGCGATAATGTCCAAGAGGCCCTTTTGGTGAATTGGACTCAAATGTGCCGCACAAATATTAAGTCTACAAACCTCCCTGGTCGCTCAACTCTTGGCTCTTCAACCTCAAATGCAGCAGAGACTGTGTTGAAATGTTTGTCCACAAACCTCCTCAGCCATTTCAACAAACTTTGCGATATTAAACGGTCAGCTCGCCTTGAACAACCGTCCATATTTGCACTCACAGAGACCTGGCTCACGTCGGATGTTTCTAACGTGGAGATCTCGATAGACATTTACTCTGCCTTTAGAGCTGAATAAAAAAACGGAGGGTTTGTGAGGTTGCTGGGTACCTACATGCGGCCTTGCTCATCCCGATTGTTCGATCTGATACCACTCCTACACATTTTGCTATGCGCTGTGTATCCAAATCCTTCTGCAGGGGTCTGATTCTCTCCTTCTTGGTGTGGTCTACCGTAGCCCCTCGAGCCCCCCCTGAAGATGACCAATTCCGCATACGAACACTTGAGCAACTCTCCTTCAGCCGCAACTTCACTCATCCCCTGCTGGTAGGTGACCTCCTGAACGGAGCTCCTGTGCGTCGATTCAAGCGGACTTTTCGCAGCGGCGCTGATTGAAGTCGTTCAACAGAGCGCCTGGACTCAACATGTCGTTGCACCCACCAGAGACCGCGCAGGCCAACCACAATCCCTCCTGGATTTGGTCATCAACGGAAGACACTTCGTCGATCAGGTAGAAATTAGCGCTTCACTGGGACGTAGCGACCACTGTGCGCTGACATTTGATTTCATCTGCTATTGGGCCAGAGCAGAAATGCAGAAATGAGATATCGCCGCAGAAGCAAACCATCCGCGTTCTCCTCGAGGGACGGATCGGAGAACCGACGAGTGACACAACAGTGGTATCTTAGTTTTACAGAGAACACTATGCAGATCAATATCCAGCCCTAGCGCACTCGTCACATCCGCCCTCGTCAAGGCATAACCACAAACAGCCTCCAACCGACTTGATCTCCACGGTGAACGACACTCGTCAACTCTTGCACAAGATCAACCCATTCTGTGTGTTGGGGCCCGACGAGGTCCATCCAAAGATCTTGAAGGAGACGTCGTCCACACCGGCAAATCATTTATACCTGGTGTTTCGTCAGTTACTTGGCGAAGGCCGCCTTCCCTCTGCTTGGAAGGAAGCGGTTGTCACACCAAACCACAAAACTGTTGACCGACTATTGCCTGGAAGTTACAGGTCTACCAGCCTCACTAACGTGCCAAGCAAGGTAATGGATCGCACTCTGGAGCGAGCTATCCAAGACTACCTTACTTCCAGCAACCTGATAACTCCAGCCCAACACGGATTTCCCAAAAACCGCTCTTGTGTAACGAACATGTTCGTGCTTATGGACAGCTTAACCCGAGCCAGGGACGTGGCATGAAACCACGCGTTCCAAGAGGAACGAATCTTGGACACGCGATCGTCGCTGATGGCATACTATCACGTTGTTCGGCGGTTGCGATCGATAGGGCAAAAACTTTATATTGAAAGTACATTATCGCGACAGGTAAACGGTAGTCACCGCGCAGGTGTATGAGGCTTTCACCATCGTCCGCCCGGCACCGACTCTTCTGCCTGGATGGATTACATCCTTGCAGATTACTCCCACTTGGTGATTCAGGTAATATCCACGCACCACCATATGAAATAGTTTGGAGAATTCCCCAAAGTTTCAACGCTACAGCACCCAGGGGGATATGTCGAGGCAACGAAAAGGTTTGATATTTAGGGCCACCAATTGCAAGCTGTGACGAACTCGGTCAACCAGACCCCGCGAATTAAGCTGCTCCCGGGAACTAGGTCAAGCAATCACCACCGCTTTTGCACCCAACACAACATCTGTACCACTAAAACCGGATAAAAAAGTTTCTGCATCACCCGACACTCGAAATCTATGCGGTGTTCAGATGCATACTGGGTTTTTTTCATGCGTTTCGCGGACACAGCACACGTCGAATGAAGCGTTAATGATAGGTGAGCTCCATATACTTCTTACTTTGAACATTGAAGCAACAACAGGTTTCCCGGTGTTCAGCATATGATTGGCAGAGGGAAGTAGAAAAATAGCGCAAAAAACTTTTACAGTTCTGAGCGGAGGGCAGTGAGTTTATGGAGTCAGCAGCTGACGGCATCGTATTAATGGCTCTTTAGAAGAACCGAGAAATAGACCGATCAGCTGAGGAGATGGGAAGTTGGCTGTGGCCCAGTGGAAGACGGGATCTGATTGGTCAGAAAGCGGGATGGGGAGTTTCAGTGTCCAGATCTGGACAGAAGAAGAAACTCCAATACTCAAAAACGCGGCTTGCTGGTTTATCGACTCTTGTCGCAGGTTCATTGCTCTGCATTCGAAAAGGACCCAGGAAACGGCTTCGCCACTTGACGGTTAACCTCGACGTTTGTGGGTCTACTTATACAGGCAGAATGTGTCACGGAAGGCAAGGACTGGTCTTCAGTTATTGATCCTGGACCAGGGCTCGCGTGATGGCTGATTTGGACGGTAGATGTGATTTTCATCACCAAGGATTTAGACCGTAAGGGAAGAAAACAAGAGTTCTACGGGATTCAGGGGAAAATCCTCCACGGAATCAGGGCGTTCACACTGGCTAGATCATTCCAAGTGAGAATAGGCTCGACCCACTCTTCTCCAGCGCCAGTCTCCTGTGGAGTTCCTCGAGGCTGAGCACTGGGACTACTGCTGTTTCTGATATACGCCAACGACCTCACAGATGTTCTTGCAAGTCCAGGTGTACTTTTTGCGGACGACTTGAAGTCCTGGAGTCCCAACGCCAGTGCCCCCCAAATGGATGTAAACGCTGCAGAGCAGTGGTCGTTGGACCATCACCTTCCTCTGAGTGACGAAAAGTGCGTCCATATGTCATTTGGAGGAGACTCGGCGAATGCCTTTGTCATACGTGGTGTAAGAAAGGACCAGAACGCATCACGAGGATACACACAAAAAGGATTTGTGAGGATCAGGCTGACTTCAAACGTATCCCTCTTACTCTATCACTAAAAAATCAGCTGAGGGGCACTCGTTCTTGTTCAGCTGAGTCGGCGCATTTTCCAAGCACTACTCGAATAACTTTCTAGACATCCTCAATCGGCCTACCTCACGCAAGTTCCTGAGTGCAGTAACTGGGTTTTCTGTTTCCTTGATCGATTCCCCCGAGGCCATAATCAAAACCGAGAGTCTGAATTTCATTATAGCTGTCTAAAAAGGGCTTTCAACTACCAATCCGCTGAGGACGTAACGGGGATTTTCAAGTTTAGGGCACGCGGTTTTATTAGGCGATGGTTTCCCTCTCTTTCGTCATTTGGTGCGAGATTCGCCTTTCCTCAATAGCCGTCCGTGCTGCATACAGTACCATCCCAGAACGGTCTTGGGCTATTCATCGTGCATGCGATCTCACATCCCAGATCTGAGAATTTAAGTGGCGATACTACGGACCCTGTTCACCTTGGCTTTCCAGCTGAACGGGCGCTGGAGAGCGACAAGGAAAGGCTTCGCCCGTAGAGCTTGAGGGGGAGAGCAGATGTTATATATCAATCAGTAAATACGTAAAGATTCCCGGGCCACCCTGTATCATAAACCATATCGTGGCGTAGAATAATTCGAAATGCATACTTTTGTCGGTCACGGATTCACGGACTGATACACAGGATCGGGGCTTTTGCCCAAGTTTCCCGGGTCGGTTTTGTTCTTGTCGGTCAGGGGCTGTCGTTCACCTGAAAGGCACAAGTGGAAAAAGGGTGTAGCACTGCTCTCTATGTTCTCAGCGCGAGGCAGTATGCTCGCCAGCGCGAGGATTCGCATAAATAAATGTCTAATAGTGCTTTAAATTGGGTTCGAGAAGGAGCGTGTACAACCGTCGGAGGAAGGTCATTCCACGCAGCTACTACCCGAAATGAAAAAAGTTTTGTCTAATGAATGTGTGTGCCCTGAGCATGAAACTTTTCTTACTATGTCTTCGCCGGGTGTTTGCTGGGTCAACGGTAAAAAACCTGTTTGCCAAGCTTTGTTCAAACAGGGCGTAAGTAAGAATTAGGTCCCCTCGGAGGCGACGGTACTCCAGGGGAAAGAGATCAAGCATCGCGAGACGCGTTTCGTAGTCCCCGGATTTGAGGCCGGCAACCATTCTAGTGGCGGCCCGCTGGACACTGAGGGTGACGTCTTTTGTACGTCCTGAGTAGACAACTTGGTCGGCGTACTCCAGGAGCGGTCTGACGTAGGCCCCATAGAGTATTTGGGAGTCCATGCGAGTAATACGGGAGAAGGTCCCAGATGACGAACTTGTCCCACAACACCCAGAAACGACCAGTTTCATAATGAAACCCTAATTATGAGTGTAGTCAAAGAATCCAACTTTTGATGCGCTTTTCATTCCCGAGATAGCCTAAATATTTCGGAAATGTCATCAACGAGGAAATGAGTTGGGGAATAAAAAAGGACTCCAAACATATAAGTAGCAAAGGTTTAGGTTAGTGCTAACTGGCAGATGGAGAATTGGACCAGCTTGAAGTCCAGCATTCTGGTAAGGACAGAGGTTTGCACGAAGACTTTCCTTCGGAATATAGTGATCCGGATGTTCCGAATATTTGTACTACGCGCTGTCAAGCTGGGCACTACAAATGATCCTCATTGTTATGAAAGCCACTAAATTAATCTTACAGTTCAATCCGTCGATAATTCATCAGGGGTGTGATGTTTTGCGTATTATGAACAAGGGGGTGTTAATATGTTTGTTTTAGCCGCCGGCCCTCTTGGCTTTGGCGCGCCCGACGCCGCAGTTCGTTTCACGTTTTTCCGCTGGTCTGATGGGTCGAGTCATACGGAGTCAGCGTAAAGGTGCTGGAGGAGTTTTCAAGGCTCACACGAAGCATCGGAAAGGTCCGGCGCGTCTCCGTGCGGTGGACTACGCCGAGAGACATGGTTATATTCGTGGCGTCGTAAAAGACATTATCCATGATCCTGGTCGGGGAGCTCCGCTAGCTCGTGTGGCCTTCCGTGATGTGTACTCGTATAAAACGATCAAGCAGCTCTTCATTGCGGCAGAAGGTATGCACACTGGTCAGTTTGTATATTGCGGAAAAAAAGCGAAACTGCAGGTAAGTTACTCTCACTAATATTGCTTCTATCCCAGATTGGCAACATTCTTCCTATTGGAGCGATGCCAGAGGGTACTGTTGTGTGCAACCTTGAGGAGAAGTGTGGGGACCGCGGGCGGCTCGCACGAGCTAGCGGGAACTATGCCACAGTGGTGGCTCATAATGTCGATACCAAACGAACCCGAGTGAAGCTGCCGTCCGGGGCTAAAAAAGTGCTCCCTTCTGCGTGCCGAGCTATGGTTGGTTTGGTCGCTGGTGGTGGAAGAGTTGACAAACCCATCCTGAAGGCCGGTCGGGCGTATCACAAATACAAGGCCAAGCGTCACTGCTGGCCTCGTGTTCGTGGTGTGGCCATGAATGTGAGTTGTCTGTAATGTAGTCGGTCATTGATTGTTAGCCTCAGAGGGTTTTGTATCTCATATTCCGTTATTCGCTCAGCGGGAGATTCCGCCAATGGTACCGGTCCAAATGAAGGAGCTTTCCTTCAGGAGGACGTCTCTTAGACTTTGCAAGTTTACGCCAAAAGAGGTACTATTAGCGTTGGCTCTGCTACTCCAGATGGTGATTTTACTGAGTGGCTCCTGACAGCTGCCATTCACTTCTTAGGGCTTCGAGGGTCCAGTTAGTTTCGATCCGTATACGAACCCTGGCACCGGATGTCGTGTTCACTCCAACAGCCGTCTGATGCGCCTTGAACGCCGAGCACTTATAGTCTCTTTTGAGTTCGCAAAGCGATTGCTACTGATCTATAGCTTCTTAACGGCTCACAAAAGGTCGTTGATTTCCGTTTATTTTCTAATCTGGCGAAATCACAGCCTATTGGGATCTACCTAATATCCCGTTGGACCACTCAATTATACCCCAACGTCGCGTTCACTACGGCCTGGAAAAAACGACCGCTAAGTAACAGCTATCAATCCTTTGAGCATGTGTACCGTGTTTTCAAATATCCCCATCAGATCTCCAAAATCACTACCTCGGTTCAGGATCACCGTGTGGACCCGGAACATATTCAGCTGTAACACCCTATCGCAGCTTAGCTGTCATGCCATTCGAGGGGAGCACATGACTGCTGCAAGGTTAACCATCACAGTGTAAGCTCTTCCAGTGACTGACGTCACGTCGGCGTCATAGGTGTCGGGGGTTGGGAAAAGCTACCCTGGCCATTCCGCCGGTATGTAATTCATTCGTAATTTCATACCTGTCAGGTGGAAGGCTAGCCACCTGTGCTTCTGTTTGGCAAATTTCCCCCAAGCCTTGTGTACCCGTGCATTGACCTCACACTAAAATCAATTAATACAACTTCCAACAGACTTCAGTTCTGATGCTGAGGATACTTTCTATCATGAATTGTCCGGGCTCATTTGTCGGACAAGAAGCATTGATGTGATCATTGAGGACGAAATGAATGCACTTTCAGTCGTCTGAGCTCTTTGGGACCCTGCCACCTTGACGTGGTGGTCGGGCTTGAGTGCTTCAATGATCCCACATGCTACACTGGCTGGAACTTCGTTCTACAAGGTGCCAAAGGGGAGCAGTGAGATCTCGTATTCCGAGTGGTCGTGCTACGAGGTGGTCTGTGAGTCGTATGTTCTCTGCGACCGGAGTGTGGAGGCAGTAAAGTGTTTCCCCCAGGCGACCGCGGTATCCATATTTATGGGAGCAGGGATGCTGCCTTCCCCCGAAGAAGGGCGGGTTAGAAAAGGTTGACCCCAAAAACCGCACACTAATCACCCAACGGTTTACCGTGACCGCCGGCGCGTTTTCCCATACGGTCAAAATACTTTTAAAAGCAAAGTTTGGTGCTGCTCAAAAGGCACCTGCTGTGCACAGCCACATCAGGACACCAATGCGTTATTTTCTGCGCCAACCTGCAGCCGAACAGGTCAGGCTATTGGGTCAGCGGCTCCAGGCAGAGTCCTCAAAGTGAACCCTACCGTCTGCTGCCTTATGGGTCAGACTTTTGAGTCAGAGACTAGGGTTAGGGTCTCCGAACAGAACCCTACATCTTCCCACTGTCTTATGCGTGAGTCAAAGGCTCAAGGTGGGTACTTTAACCAAACCCTCTCCCTCGGCCTGGACAACCGGCAAGTATGATTTGCTTGCGCATTTCAGTGTACACCGATGTCCTTCCACAGTCCCCTCCCGCCATACATGCAAACGTTGCTGGGTCATTTGGCCGTCAGTTGTTACACCGAAGGACCTTATACTCCTTGCAATAAACAAAATAACACCTTTCTAAATCCACGAGATCTTTTCTATTTAGGGGCTTTTAACGTCCGTGCTCTATGTCAAACTGGCAGTCAGGCAATGCTTGCTGAAACATTATACTCCCTTAAAATTGATGCATGCTGTCTCCGAAAAACGCATACAAGACCCAAGCATGGTGATGCATCTCAGAACGCCAAGGGTGAACTCAGCTCTTTCACATATCCCCCTCCGCGTGTCCGGTGACCCAGAAGCGATGAATCGTGGAACGGAGGGCATGGGTTACACTCAGCCCCGGAGCTGAACATGCTTTACTAGATTGGATCCCAGTGAACAATCGTCTTTGTGCTTTCCGGTTATCCAGTCCATTCGAACTCAATGTCTCTGCATAAGAAGCGGTGCCTCTTTGTAGCGTCGGCTTATGCCCAAAGGAAATGCAGTTCTGATGCTGAGAAGAATACTTTTTATCGAGAGCTATATGGGCTCATTCGTCACGCAAAAACACTGACACTGTGATCCTTGCAGGTGATATGAATGCTCGAGTAGGTCGTCTGAGCTCCTTGGAATCACATTTCGGCGGTCGATTCGGAGTCGACGTTCACCGCACACAACGGGGATCGATTCCTTCAGTTGTGCGCTGACCATGAACTATTTCTGACAAGTGAGTGCTTTCAACGTAAACGTTCGCATCAGGTAACCTGTCGTCCACCAACCTCAAAACAACCCTAGACCCAGTTGGACCACGTGTCCATCAGCCACCGGTGGAGAGCCACAATTCAAGACCGTTCGTCCTGGGGCATATTACGCCATGGTGTGTGAACGCCTGACAGTTCGCTTCTCTTCAGGCCCTCACAAATCAGCAAGAAGCATGTCAATCCACTACCTTCGAAGAACTACCATAGCTCAACGGTATCGGTTGGACCTACCGCTCCAAAAACTGTCCACAGTGAACCAATACTGTAGTGTTAGTAAACGTGTGGCTGAAGTGTAGTGTGAAAGAAGCTACGTTTGCGGCGTTCACTGTTGTATGTTCGACTTCCCCAATTCAACCAACTGTATGTCGTCGAGATCACTGTCCATGATAGACTCCAAGAAATCCATACAAGCGAGCAACGAGTATGACGGCGCACGCAAATCCCTCAAACGCCAGATGGTGAAGAGTCCAGGGAAAGCTCTAATGGACACCGAAAGCTCGGGAGATGAAGACTTTTGCTACGGAAAACAACCGTGCCCTCTATCAACTAATACGACCTATTGGCCCTAGGAAAGCAACGGTCAGTGAACCGATGAGTGAAAAAGATGGCTCATAAATTCACTCGGCAAATAGTTGACTGGGAAGATGGGTCGAACACTTCGAAGGACACTTTAGCTGGTCTCCTGCAACGCAGCCTGCGGGGATGGTGTATAGCGGTGAATGAAATGTAAACCTTCATAGCCTGCTGGTAGAAAAAGTAAGGTACGGAATATCCGTACTGAAAAGGGATAAGGCACTAAAACTGGATGGTCTGTATCCATCCCTCATCAAAGAAGGCGGAGAATCCCTGGTTGCCTATCTATTAAAGCTTATTGTTGCGATACGAACGAAGAGAAATCGCTTGCATAACGGGGCGTATCGACAGTTATTCTTCAAAAGAGGCACGCGAACGCTGTGTGGAATTCACTGTGGTATCAAAGGTGCTCTCTTACCTTTCGAAGGTTGGCTAAACACAGGAAAGACATCTGTGGAAACCAAGTTGGGTTCCTGTTGTGTTTGACGACTACTGGAAAGCGGCGACAAAGTCAGACGATGAAAGATGATTTACCGATGGACGATAAAACGCCTTGAGAAATCGAGGCAAATACACGACAACTCCGTCGTGCAAGAGGATGCATTGGTCACACTTCCGACAGATTCTGGATCAGCATCATTGCTTTCAACGGCAGTGAAGCATCGGTGTTGAACACTGATGTCATGCTGTCAATGATGATGATGTTTGACTCTGTGGACTGTCAGGCACTGTGACAGTGTCTGGAGCAAAGGTGTCCCCAATAAATTCATGATCATCCTTAAGGCGCTGTACGCCGAATTCCGTGGACGTGTGAATGTCTACAAAATGCTTTCGGTCGAGTTCACCACTTCAAGTTGTGTCAGGCAAGACTGTCCTGTTTCACTTTCCTCTTCAGTAGTAGCCTCTAATATTTATGGGATCGGGGTGCTCCTGGGGATTCCACTCGCACAAACCAAGTACGCAGATGACGAAACTTGTATATGGCGCCGTCCTGATGCAAACAGTATTAAATAGTCTAAATAATTCTGCCGGTTTGGTGTGTGCTACTCACCTGGAAAGTGCAGTGCTACTGCAAGACTGAGTGGGCTAGAACCCTAGTGTCATGCTTATAGATGAGCTGATTGAGGTAGTGGACAAGTTTTTCTACCCGGGCAGCTGTATCAATTCCGGTGGTATCGTAAAAGATGATACTATCATCCGGATTGGGGAAGACTAAAGAAGCCTTTGTAAATCACCTGTGGCGCAGACGTGACATCAAGGGTCGAGTTTGCAATGCTGGTTTGCGTTCCATTGGCCGCCGCATGCCGAGGACGTCAAGACTTCCAGTGTTTGACCATCGATGTCTTCAGAGCATTGCCCGAATCCAGTTAACACCGGATCGGCAATGCTGAAGTACGTCGGATGGTATTTGGAAGAAATAACTCACCCCCGATAGATGAACTGATCCCACTACATAGGTTTCACTGGCTTGGCCACGTGTTGCGTATGTCAGTCGACCGACTTCCTCGAAGGGCTCTTTTCGCGCAACCACGTGAAGGGTGGAAACGAGCCAAAGGCTGTTAAACAATGACTTGGCAGTGAGGTATAAGAGCTATTACCAGCAAACTCAGTTGCGCTGTTGATTGCTGTCTCCGTGGATGGGGACAACAAGTCGGGACATCTCCGTAGTTGAAGGCACTGTCAGACATGCCGCATTCGTACCCTCAGTGATACCCGTGCATCCAAGCTTCCGCCTCCATTACGCAACTATCTACACCATGTTTCCAAATGACCGGTGAACGAAACTGGCAGTTGTCACTACTGTACGACAAGTTTGCGGTTACAACTGGTGATAATGGTGTATCCGTAGCGTAGCGTAATTACCTGCTGCAACGAGCACGCAGCTAGCTGGTATTCCAGCCTATATTTGATGCAGAATCGTTGGAGCAGCAGATAAGGCTAATTACTTCAGTTTTGTTCGACCACCATTTACTGTCTCCTTAAGCTATCGTTGGCAGGTGGTTCCCGTGGAATAGGCCATTGCATGGCAACGTGAAGTGAAAGCTGCTACAGTCAAACTGAGTGCTATAGGATCTTCGCGCGTTCCTTGCTGGGACCTAGCGTACAGTCATTTCTGCCGTACCCCACTCCAATTTGAGTATTATCTCTGTGGGTTCCAGCACTAGGGCTGATTAATTTGCTCCTCACGCTCAGTGGCAGCTTCTGTATCCGACATCAGTAACAACTTCGAACAAAGCCTGAAAGCCGGCTGGCTTAGTTACCTTTGTTGTTTGCTCACTAAAGCACGCGTGATAGTAGGCGGCGCTTGCCCATACGATGGCTTCCCTCTGCATTTATGTATGTTGTCGATTGGAAACAAGGATACAGGACGCGAGTACTATAGTTTTACTGACTCTTCGCTCTCCAGGTTCCGGCTACGCACCATTGGCGATGCAGTGAGTATTGTAGTAAATGCCCGAACGGAAGCCTATTTGACTGATTTGCGTTTGGCGACGTCAGTGGAAGCATCTGAGAAAAGTGAGGTCTATCGCACCCTGTTTTTTCATACCTACTCACACTTCAACTGACTTTGTCAAAGACAGTTTCGGCAACTCCCCAGATGCATGAACTCCCAAGTAGACTGACCAAACGCTTCTGAGGCCCAATTGGGTGATCGTCTCGGGTTGGATAACGGAGAGCTCCTGCTCACTGTGCTCACTACAAGCTGCTTTTCTTCAGTCGCAACTTCTGAAGCAGCGAAAATCGCCTAACTACGTGGTGCCCACCGGCGAAACAGCCCCGAATCCAACTAGACTACATTGCCATCAGTTGTCGGTGCTAAGCGAGAATGGACCGAGTGATTAGAGCGCGGATTTACTGACCGGAAGGTCCGTGGTTCGAACCCGACCTCTGCCACTCGACTTCCCTGTTTAGGCTTGGGCAACCTGGCGGCATCCCAGCCCTCGTGCCTCCTTCGTGTGGCATGGCAGCTTGACACCGAAAGGGTGCTACAACTGATGACTGGGTTCGATCGCTGTCTGCCACTTCCAGAACACTAGCATGGAATCAGACCATTCACTTGTGTGCTACCGTTTTTCACTGCACCTCACGTCTGTGCTAAAACGTGCACACCTCACTTAGCCATTGAGAAGCTGGTGTATCCGGAACTCAAACGAATCCATCAGAACCAGCCCCTCGAACGCCTGTCGGATGTTGGACATTAACGGACGCCAGTCTCGATGTGATTCTCGGGTGTTTATTATTTTCTTTCCATTCTACTGGAAATTTCTCTAATATTTTTGTAACGACTAAGTACCAGTATGTAGTATCAGTCTTTTGCTCTAAATGATGCTGGTGGTGATAACTGTCATCATAAACATGACTGTAGCGAGAGAGACTAGAAGCTTAACGGTAGCTTTGATCCTCCGTTGTCATTGTAGTTGACTTACCAGTATTCACGTTTCAGCAACTTTTTATTGGATTTTCTGTCATGCACCCGTACTTTTGTCTGTGTTGGCAAACCAATAAGGACTTCAAATTTTTCGGCAATAGTCACCGAGTTTTCTACAACCGTCTCATATGCTTGTTTACCGTTTTCAGCCGGTTGAACATCCCCATGGTGGTGGTAATCACCAGCACATTGGCAAACCGTCGACCATACGTCGCGACGCATCACATGGTCGGAAAGTTGGTTTAATTGCCGCTCGTCGGACTGGCCGCATTCGTGGTACACGAACCATAATCTCGAAACCAGAGAAGGAGTAGCCGTTTTATGTGAAATAAATCTTGACGGAGCATATGGTCGTGCTAAAAAACAGTTTGGGTGTCACAAGCAGAAGCAAATACTATCGGTATTGTGCAGCAATTGTGACTTTTCAGTGGCTGCAGTGATTTCCATGCTGTCTGCCTCAGTGTTTCTTTACCGTGGGCTAGAATTTACGTGTTCTTCAACCTGGAGAGCGTGTACTAGCATGCACGCTTGGGGGGATTTCTCCAAGAGAATGTTGACAGTGCGGTTTGCGCAGTTTTGAGCTTTTGTTGGACGTGTTAATTGTCCGGACACAATTTCCAACTAAGCGGATTTTCCTGGGGTGACCACTGATACATCGTTATTTTCAGCGATCGTGACGGCCATGGTCATAGACGTAACAGAAAGTGGTGTATGCATGTTGTAACTACTGGTAGAACGTACTTCAGATGGGCCACCAGCAGTTCATCGTTCAATAGAGCGTGCCAAATAATGTCCAGCTGAGTAATGTCGCTCTCAAAACGTCCCAACATCGGTGTATACTACAAGTTGGACGTTATTCGATAGAATCTAGCTAAAACCGCAGCCCACAGAAGACCCACCAAATGGGGTACTGTATCAGGAAATGAGCGTGAAGCCTTGGAGGTCGGAAGAAAACTGGGAATAGCAGTAAAGTTGTATCGGCGTCGTCAGTCACAGTCCAGTTAGCTATGTACGTAATTGAACGTTGTCAGTAGCGTTTGGCTTGGATAAACAATTTTATAGATCTTGGTATGCCTGCACACAGGACAGCGTTTACTCTGACGCGGTATGCTGCGTTGAAAATCGAGCCTTGGTCTCAGGTCTCAGACTTTGTGTTGTGTGTACTGAAATAACTTCCATAAGTACTTCTAGAAGTACTCAGCCTTTATTCTGACCTTAGAGGCAAACTGAGTAACCCGCGAGTATGATCAGCAAACGAAAAGCCCAGGTCCATGGATCTTGCGCCTATGCCCTTGTTTGGGGTCATAGTTGAATTTCCGAGCTTATCAGGATAATTTGACGGACTTGGGCTCATCGTAGTTTCTCACTTGATAGATTGTCGCATCCAAGTGCGGTCAGTGCAACCTGGGCAGCAATTAAGTTATGTACGGTCTTGTTTGCAGGCGCGCAGTTCGTCCAAGTTAATAACTGAAAAGCGAGTGCTACAGCAATTTCCATATGTAAGACTCATAAAGTTACTGAAAACTCTTCTAGGTCAAGATATGTCATCAATAACACACAACACCGTTCTGCGTACACTTTCAGGCCTGAGCGTTTCGCTATCAAGGTGTGCGGAACAATGTTTTGCGTGAAGAGGTTGAGCCAGTTCACCAAGGCCTGACAATGCATGCAGGACGGTGTTGGCGGGAAAGTCGGTGTCACATATTTGTCTAGGTTATTCTATTTTGGGACGAGATGGCTCAATGGTTGCAATTTACTGATCTGAAGGCCCGTGGTTCGAACCCGACCTCTGCCTCTCGACTTTTCCTATAATATCCCGGCCCTTGTACTTCATTTGGGTGGCATGGCAGTTAGGTACCGAAAGGGGCGTCACAGATGAACGAAAAAAAGTAATAGCAGATAACGGCGCCAGTCTATGCTGCCAACACGCACAATTAGATTGAGCGGACTAGTCTGCCTTATCAGCATCAACAGGATGAAACAGAGGACTCAAGTTTCTTATAAGAACTTATCAGTGGTGCACTTGCCCTTAGTCATTCCGGGGTTGAACTCCGGACATGTGACATGCGAGGACAGCGTGTTATCACCATACATACTCCAGACATGCTTGATTCGCGCGATCGAGTGGACAAAATGCTGTGTGTGGCGGGTGGGGGGAACTCGAGTTTCACCACTGAGTCATGATGGGTAAACTCGAGTCCACTGTTGCCTTTAGACAAACTGAGTCGGAGTGGGACTCTGACATCAGTCCGGCAACAACAATGATATTCCAACGCCCAGTCTCATTGCTACAGCACAACAAAGCACCCTGCATTATTCAAAAGATTTGGCGAGTCCGTGAAACGTTTGAAATGAGGGAAAACTTCCAACAGAATGGAGTGCCTCGGGGATGATTCCCATGTCGCGAATTTCTTAAGGACGTGCGAAAACTACCGGAGCACTAGCCTAGTGGCTATAGCTTCCAGTGTTATTATCCTTCCCAGGTTAACTCGTCGCTTGTCCCATACAGCCTTATAAGCTTCCTGTAGTAACGGTATTTTCCCCAGCTTAGTTCTCGGTCTGAACCTCTCAAGCTAGCCTTCACGTCAAAACAACCACCAAAGGTGCGCAAGGTCTATTAATGCCCAAAACGAAGTCAAGAACAGTTGTACAGCGCTTCGTATACATAGTGTAAGCGGTTATAACTTTCTGTAGGTTCTGGATGCGCCATTGACAACCTGCATTTGGCCAACACTGGGTCGCGATTGGCTGTTAGGTCCAGATTGTTGACCAGTCAGATCTCGTCTTGATGCCGGACCGGCAAGCGTCCCGAATTCTGGGCCAATCTCGAGCGGGTCAGGCTTATCGGCCGTAGCAGCGCCTAAAGACGTGCGGTATAGCGGGATCCATGTGGATTCCTGCCTAACGCTTCCTCAGATGTGTACGTGTCAATGACAGATTCCAGAGTTAATCACATTCACTGGTGTCAGGGAAGAATGTCTTCTTTTGCCCTTTATCAACTTGGTAATCAATATCCTGCTTATATATTCTTTGCATACCTCCATAGCTTCGGGGATCCAAATACACCCGGTTGTTCGCCCGCGGACATTGAGTACACCAACCATATTGTTCTGCTTGGATCAGACCCTTCATGTTATGGTCTCTAGTGATGTATCAGTCTGACCCGTCAGCTCACCGCAGTAGAGAAGTCAAACAACTTTGAGGAAGTTGTACTGCAAACAAGCGGATCGTTTCGTGATATGGAATTCGAATGAACGAGAATATAAAAAGAGCTAACAGTCCAGTAGGATGTCACCGAGACTGAAATGTAGAAACAAGCTTCCACCATACAACTCCCATGGCAAAGTGTATCTGTTCGTTTGTAGGCAGTCCTAACAGTTGAGAAATGCAAAATATTCTTCTGGATAACCTAGACAATTATGCCCAACAGCTCGGGGTGCGCTTCGCAAGTGTAAAGTGCTGCTGCAGGTGAACCGATCGACGTAGTAGTTAGGCTTGTTTACCTGTACAGCTGCATGTCCCGGCGGTCTGGCGATAGTCAAAATCCCTTGCCTAATTCCATTCCCTTATCATCGGTGAATGAAGCTGTAGAAGCTGGAACCACTGCATTTCGATGCACGGTTTACGAGCTGAAAAACCGAATTGAACTGAACTTACTTCTCTAGCGTGAACCAAACATGATGATTGCGCTAGAACACGAGGACTGATGTGAATACCAATTCTACGACTTTCGCAACCAACTAAGAGGTGAGTGAACCGACCGAATCTCCCATGGATAGTCGGACGACCTGATTGTCAACGGAAAAAGGAAACCGATTTATGACACTGTCACCGGTGTTATTTAAAGGTAACATTCTCGAAAACGAGAACATACTTTATTCTGTCCAAGGTAGCCCACTCCCTAAGAGCAGTGATCTCATCCAGCCATGGTTTGAAATGAATTCACCTCTGAAGCGAAGCTACATCCCGTGAGAGGTCAGAAAGACGCTTTCCTAATGAAAGGAAGAAGGCCTTCGCTGCGGAGTTATTTATTAGGAAATGCCTATTGACCGGTTACAGACCATTCAACAGGGAAGCAAAACTTTGTTTTGCATCTTATTTACAAAAACTGGACACCCCTCTTCTCCCGAACGCGTCTTCTTGAACTTTCCTAGTGATTCATTGACTCCAATCATTCCTCGGTCAAATCCAAGCAACTTACAAAATGACTCCACGAATTCTGCAACAGATCTCCCCTTTCCAAAAGATGCAAAGCGGAACTCTACGAACAACACATTATTCGCGTGCCTACCCATCAGTAGTATCACCGTTACACTAGTAGTATGCTTTTTCCAAGAAGATTGCCATACATAGGTTGCAGACACGCCATGCCGGATGATGCTAGCTGAAAGCGGCTTAAGCTGTAATCTACCCCCCCCCCCCGTCCCCTTTCGAACTCTCATGAGGCTTGTCTTATTTTATCTTCGAATCGTACTTAGTGCGGCTATCAGCACTCAGCTGAATGTTGCATCCATGCACAGCAGCGGTGCCCGCGTCGGAATCTCGTGATTTAACTTCCATCCATTCGGTGCTTCTCATCAAAATGAATTCACTTTGTGTAGTGACTACACATGCAACCGTTGGTGAGATTTCCATGTTCCACAGAACAGTGCTTAATGAGCGTCGCATATCGTTATGTTTTCTTGCCTGCTCGGAGGTTTAGTCTGGTTGTCAAAATAGAGACTTGACTTCTGTTGTGGATGGTTTCCTACTTCCAAGTCACGCTTCAGTGATGCACAGGGACGGCAATCGTACCAAGCAACAATTCACAATGAGAGGTTGCTTGTGGGAAAGGTAATTCTTTGCTGTTATATCGTCCTTATTGCTCTAAACAAACATTGATCAATCGACTTTGTCCTGCTTCGTCCGACACAGTCCGTTTGGGTTTCTCGAGTTCGAACAAGGGTTAATAACGGTTTGTGCCAACTGTATCCACCGTCCGCACACGTTGAGTGGAAACGCAGACAAAAACTTGCTTGCTGCCTCTGACCGGTGATTATGCATGCGAAGCTGGATTTGTGCGTGCAGTATAGTGTAAAAGGATTGGAGGTGTGGGATTCAAGGTCATACTTCAGAAGCTTTAATTTGGTCGGGCGCTCGCAAACATCCGTCCAAGCATCGCTCTAATTTAGCTTGGGACGAGTCGAAACTTGTTCATGCGTGTAATCGAGACGATAAGCATAGGTGAAGTTTTTTTGAGGAAACACTGTTCGTAAGATTGCTGAGAACTCTCCGACAACCGTCACGCAGATTCGCCCTCCTTGGGGCTCACCAAGTTGGTGCAGTCAGCGAGCTTTTGCCTGTCCTATGTTGCAATCCAACCCAAACTGCATCGGTGTTGATGGGCGACAACCGGATTCCGGCTGATTCTCCCGTTTACTAAATTTGCCTTTTTAGGTCATAGCA